ACTAAAAAAAAATTTTAACACGAATACGTATAATAATATTTCCGGACATCTTACACACAACTCCATCTAGCTTCAAACTAAGCAGAACTTGTAGTATGAAAGCTGGATTGACTAATAGAATACTTCTATACCCTTTTTTTGTAAATACGTACATGTTAAATTATACCTATAAAACACTTAAACTCTGGAAGAAATATTTGCAGATCATACAGCCATTTGGTCCGACCCGGGAATCGAACCCGAGACCTGAGTATAGCAGTCGCATACGCTACCACTGCACCACCGAGTTAAAGTCATTGGATAAGACAAGTTTTAGGCAAAGGCAAAAGTATTGGGCCTGAAAAAAATCATATCTGCTAAATTTATTATAATTTAAAGTTTAAACAAATAAATAAAACAAATTTTCGTCCTGTTTAGATAAAGAGAATACAGAACAGAAAGCGTAAAGAATTTTAAGCACAATTAGGTAAGTAAATTGTAAGTACAGTTCGTAAATTATTCGGCGAATTTGTCTGACATTTTATTTGATAACTGTTCATGATATTTAATTTATAGAGTTTTTATACACTTTCAGTAGAAATGCAGTACATGTTTATTAACAATGAATACCAAACAGTTTATATACTATTCCTAAATAATGTAAACATTTGTTCTCTGGATATAAAATATTGGGACAAATAATCAACGAATAAGACTTACGGCATTCATCAAAAGGCACACACGTGCCGTTCTTTAATCTACCAAAACCATCTTTGCATTGACACTTCGGATTGCAAATTAGTAAGATTCCAATTCTGAATGGATATTTGCCCGTGATTCTTGGCCAGCCACAGCTGTCAGAGGGACACATAGGTGGACAAGGAGTATACTGTTCATTGGGTTTAGTACTGCAGTCGAAAGGAGCTGAAAAGTAGGTATCAAGGTTATACATTGCAATCAAAGTAATAGTATGTGATCGGGACATTTGGTGAACCTTGCATTATTTTCAATAATCACTTACGGCAATCTACGGTAGGTATACAAGAGCCGTTTTCAGCACGCCTATGGTTAAATCTGCATTTACAGGCGGGTGGCGGGCAAGGATTTGGTTGTTCACACCTCTTGTTGTCTTCTCCACACTTGGGACAATGCTCTGATTTACAGTGTGCAGGACAATCATCTAGGATTTCGTTATCCTCACAAGTTGGTTTCGGGTTATCTAAAATTTAAAAAAAAAATGAAATGATGTTCATCAAATAAAGAAACTGTATTTTCTGAGATCACACTGAAACTGATATATAATCAGTTTCAGAGGGTTCGCAGTAAATGAATTTCGTTGTCGGCTGTTTTGTGAATTGAATAGAATACGATTCATATTTCTTCGTAACTCTTCTTTTAGATATGGTCGTTAAAAATATTAGGTCTTTACCTATGAAATTGCCGTTTTGTATGCAATAGGTGAAAGTACTTATTTTTTCAAACTTTTTTATTTCTGTTATTCGAAGTAATCACCCATGCAATCGACGCATCTTTGTCAACGCATTGGCAGTTTATTGATGCCCTTCTTGTAAAAATCAGCTGGACGGGAGGCAACAAACTCTTCAAAGGCATTTTGTACTGCACCTACCGACTATTACTTTTTCAAAAATTTAGACATCGTTTTAGTCGGTAAAAATTCAATTCCCGAGAAGCATTGAATTTTTTATCGATTTAGTCGATTGCATGGGTGATTACTTCGAATAACAGAAATAATAAAGTTTGAAAAAATAAGTACTTTCACCTATTGCATACAAAACGGCAATTTCATAGGTAAAGACCTATTATTTGGAAAAAGTGAACGTATTCTCAGAAGAGAAGAACTTAATAAACGTTTAAAAAAAGAAAAAAATGGAATATTGTAAAATTTAGTTGATATACCGCTTCAAGAGAGGCTAATATAATGTGTTCTTAAAAACTCTCTCACCATTGCACTGCTCTTCTGGAACACATGTGCCATTTTTATTTCTGTAGTAATTTTCTTTACAGACGCAGCCTCCTTTGCAGAAAGCAGGATCGATTCTCGGACAACTTAGTGGATCGTTTCTAGTGCTGCAGTTTTGGTGACGGCATGTTGCTTGTGTGCAGGAGTTGTACTCCTCGTTTAATGGGCAGATATTAGCTGTAAGATAAAAATGAAAATCATTAATTGTTATATAGAACTCACGAGTCTTTTGTAACAAATGTTGTTCGAAAAGGTCTACTTTCAAAGTCTATTAAGTCAGAATCCATTATAATAAAGTAGATCGTCTGTTCGTGTGCCCCCTACAACATAAAAAAATAAACTTGTTATTCTAACTTATATGAGTTTATTATAGATCATTCTCAAGTATGAATTGGAGTAATGATGAATTGGACCAAATTGACGTAACTTTTAATAGTACCTCGTAGTAGTAATCATACTGTGTTAGTAACATTATATTAAGACAATATCAGTTTTTACTTACGACACTCTTCGTAAGGAACGCAAATACCGTTCTTTCTCCAGTAACCCTTGATACATCTACACTTGGGGCTACATGGGAGTGTTATAAGGATATTCCCGAACTGTGGACAGTTCCCAGAAGGAGTTGCTTGAGAACAGTCGTCAGTCGGACATAATGGGGGACAGGCGTGAAATTCTTCATTCGGACGAGCGCTACAGTCGAAGGGGGCTAGGGATACAATTTATTTAAATATATTAACCTGAATAGTGGAGCGCTACATACAGACCTGAAAATTACTGAAATTGGTAACAAAATTGTCTATTGTTGTATATTATCATGATATATGTAAATATATTATGAAAAGTTTCTATTTAATTCTAGATTATTTTTCAGCACTATCATATGATTAAGGCCCGGAAATTTTGCAATTTACATACGGCAATCTCTTGTGGAAATGCAAGTCCCTTTTTTTGTTCTTCGGTAGTTGAATTTGCATTTGCAAACGGGTGGTGGGCACTGATCTTGATCAGGTTTTAAGCAAGCGCCCACTTCTTCATCTTTGGTTGGACAATAATCGTCAGCACAATCTGCAGGACATTCTTCCAAAACTTCATTTTGCCCACAGTCTGTGTCACCTAAGGACCACATTATAAAACGTTCAACTAACGTTATATCTAACATATGTTTATGTAGATATTTTTATTGATATTTAATTAAGGGGATAAACTAATTATTATATATATATATATATATATATATATATATATATATACGTATTATGTATAGTTTCAATATTTCAAATTTGTATCAAATCGGTTTCAGCTCCAGAGAGTAGCAAATTTTAATATAAAGCTTACAAACTTTCCTATAATTTATTGCATATAAAGTTATGTTTGATCTACTAAGGGTTAGTTACATTATAATATCCATATATTCAAATATTATTACATTGTCTTTCGGGAATACAGGTGCCATTGTTGCTTCTTAGATATTTTTTTTTACAAACGCAGCCTTTTGTACATTTGTTATTGTCGTGACTGCATAGAGATTGACCTCTTTGAGAACAAAACTGTGCTCGGGAGATGGACTGTGTGCAGATTGAAAATTCTTCATTTTTTGGGCATCTCATTCCTGTGAAAACAATAAAGCTCGTTTTTTGAAATTTTAATACGATCATAGTTACGCTAGTACTAAATAAATAATGAAGAACTTAAAATCTAAAAATAATAATAAATTCTCACATCACACACCGTCTGATTCCAAACTAGGCAGAGCCTGAACTATGGTAACCAGACTGCTGATAAAACATGCTTATATATTTCTAAATAATAATAATATTTTCACACATTTCACACACGGCCATCTGATCCCAAACTAGGCAGATCCTTAACTATGGTAACCCGACTGCTGATAATCATACTTATACATTTCTAAATACATACATACATATTATAGATAAAGTACACCCAGACACAGAACAAATGACCGTGCTCACCACACAATTATTTGTCCTGGGTAGGAATCGAACCCACGACCTCTGGTGTAGCTGGTAGGGTCACTAACCACTAGACCAACAATAATCTTACCACTATAGGCAACAATTTTACATATAGTTCAGTTCAGTGCTAGCGTCATATTGTCTTCTTCAAATACATCGTGCGTTTTTAATGGCATAATAGTGTATTTTACTTTGTAATGATAGCAAAACATTTTATATGTATGATACTTAAGGCAATAAGCAACCGTGCAATGTTAGTTTGATATAATGAGAAATTAATTTAGAAGTTAAATTATATGATTATTTCCAAAGTTATAATTCTTTTTATACGTTCTAGAAATACGCAAAAAATATGGTGTGGATAGGTAGAGGGTACAGGTATAGATATCTTCAAGTCAGTAAATTGAAAATCGAATCGACAATTTTTATAAAGACAGAAAGTAGATATCAACCTAGAATAAGTTCTTTCAGTTATTTTTTTGCAATAACATACAATTCCTATTTTCCGGTTGTAGTTCCATGTACCAGGTCCTCTTCTGAATCTAAACCACTCAAGAACCCTATCCAGCCTACTAAGAAGACTTCAGTCACAAACTCATGTACAAACAAATAATGTACATAAAGAACACAATGCTAATTAATTTAGCCATATCAACAAGCATTCTCATGTAAGAGATAAGTTTTGTCCTGTCTCGAGTACTTTTAGTATTTATTGGGTATGTTTTTCTCTAAGTGTTCGTTTAAGTATAAGTCTTATTAATTGTGTCCGCTACAGAGATCCAGTAATAGTTTCGCAGCATTTTACATGTGCATAGTCGAAACGTAACTGTAAGTTTTTTTTGGGTTTGGGACAAATCTCTCTGTAACAGTGCCTCTAATTCCTTGCCCAAGTACTTTCAGCCTCCCACTGTGTTCTTTCGTGTGTGTGTGAGATCTACAAATCATAAACTTTTGAAACTCTCACGACAAGCTCTTTCACTCAAAGCAACGTCATTATTGTTTCTACAAGCAACCGACGTGCCTCAGCTGCAGATTTCTTCAAATGATTTTTTTAATTAAAAGTTGCAAGATTTTTTAATATTTTCATATGCAAACAAGATAACAAGCTTCTACTGCCTCAATAATATTTAATAATAATAATAATAATATTGTACCACATTCACCCAACGCCATCTAGTCCCGAACTAAGCAGAGCTTGTCCTATGGGTAGTAGACAGCTGATATAAATACATATTTACTTTTTTTTGTAAATATATACATATTATACATAGAAACATCCAGACCAAATCAAACATTAAATGTTCATGCACACAAATGTTTGACTTGAGCGGGAATCAAACCCGCGACCTTTGGAATAGCAGTCCGTTACACAAACCACTACGCCATCCGGTCGTCTTAAGATTATATTGTTACCACACGATAACACTTAGTATATATATAGTGATGATATCCACATATCTATTAAAAATGAATATGAACCTAAAAAACAGTTATTTGTGCTGTACTGAATCAATATTTATTTATAGTTTCAAATGACGCATGTGTATTTGTTTTAGTTCAGTTGATTTCGTCACGCGTTCATTGCTGCTACCAATAACAGTTGAACAAACATATGTATACAACCTTGTGTAACCTATCCGATTTAATTTATTAATTTGTGTTTTACAAATTAACCAGTATTATGAAATGTATGAACTTCAAACATGCCTATATTTATATAAATGTTCCGACCAGACTACCAGCTCTAACGAACAGTCCTCCAAATTTAGATCGCAAGTTATGTTTTTAACACATTTATGAGAATCACTTATCCAAGCTTCACCCTATCTGATTTTGTATTTACTAAATATTATATAAAAATGTTAAGTTGGTTTGTGTACGCTGCAAAAACTCAAAAAGTTCTGCACCGATTGAGCTTAAACTTTGGCACGATATACAACGCACTTCAAAGATAGTTTTACCTAAAAATGTTTTTCAACCACAATGTGCCACAGCTAGTATAGATGTATATTTAAAATATGTTATAACCTCTTCGCATATAAGCATTATATTAGAATGTAAAATGTCCATTATGAGTTTATGACCTACTGGTTATGACGACTGGTCGAAACGTCAGCCAATGATCGTGTTGATTCCAGTTGATAGTAAGTGATTTTTAATACCTTTTTCATCTTATTCCTGTGTTTCTCTAAGTTCTTTTGTTTAGTAGGTTAGTATATAACGTCTGTTCAACATATAAAAAAATATCTTCTTCTTTACTAATATATAAATACATAACCATAATTTCCCTTTAACGTAAGGACGATGTTTGCAATGCCCTACTACTTTACCTTTTTTCTTTTTTGGTATTTTAGCTTTGATTTTGGAGGTTACCACCGCACTAGAATGCTTATCTGATGACGTCGTAACTTCTATAGTAGAACATTTTTCGGTATCACAGGCTGAAATAAAGATTTACACATCAGATTTTACGAAAATGTTAAGTACACGGTAGCGACTGTATGGCGTAGTGGTTCAAGCGGTCACCTCGCCGCTTCCTACTGTGCTGAGTGTTGTGGGTTCGTGCCCCACTTGGGACAACACTTTCTGTGATCCACAAATTGTTGTTCTGAGTATGGCTGTTCTTTGTATGCGTTTCATGCATGTCTGCAAAGTCCCCCCCGACACAGGATATATTCCTTGTGCGTGAGACTTTTTTAAATGAAATAAAAAATTAAAGTTTGAACGTAGTTTTGAGTCCGAATACTCGTATAATGTAATGAACTTATATACATTTCGCAAAACAAAGAAAAATATCGTTTCTTTCTTCTTGTCTTTATAAGTGAATTAGGTATGTTTATTTATTATCAAATTAAATGAAGTTGAAAATTTCGAAACGATTGGTTGCATAAACGACATACCTACTTACTAAGCCGGTGTAATATCAACTCGTTAAAACAAATAAAAAACAACTCAGCAACTGATCGATAGCAGTCGATCGTTTTCGTGACACGTTTACACAGATTTCCATTCTACGAGGCAACACTGTCAGCCCTCTAAGTGACGAAACGGTGAATTTTTTGACGCTTACGTGTACCTAAATAGTGCAATGTTGGAATTGTTATACTGTATTAATGTACTTATTTATGTGATTACATTGTTAAAGCAGTCACGTATCTTACAAATTTTAAAAATTAATTAAGAAACATTAATTGAGCAATATCACATTTAAATCTACAAAAAATAATAAAACTTAGAAATAGAATTAGTTTTAAAGATTTTGTCTGATAATTAATTAAAATAAATATCTTAAAGATTGATAGGAACCAAAAACGGATCAATTCGAAGTATGATTAAATGATTTAATAATAAATATTAAGTACATACCATCACAATTCAGTACGAATAAACAAGTCGCTAGCGCAATAACAATGATAGATCTTAGCACCATTGCGACCTAACACTATCTGTTTTTTTGCAGTTTCAAAACTTGTATATATAGGTAGATAGGCTCTGACACCTGTTCGATGATAATACACATATAACACATAATTTGGTACTAATTTACCAGTTATACAAATATTAGCATACCGTATCCTCAATAGAATATTTTTTAATACGTAAAAGTACTAGGTGCAATGTTCGACCAGAAAAAATAAGTTTTAAATAATGGGTTTGCAATTTGCAATTTTTAAAACCAGCATTTTCAGATTACTTTATCTATGGATTGGCGCGCAATTCGGAATTAAAAAAAAAACCATGTTATTTTTAATTTAAAATTCAGTCATTTGTTTTATTTAGTGTCTTGTTTTTGTGATAATGTAGTCTTTGGCGGCATGAATAAACTGATAAATTCGTACAATTTTCGAATATGAGTTCAACGTGAAAATACCGGTGCGCAAACAACACAAAAAAATTAACGATGTGTACGGGACTAACATGGATTGCATAAACACGGTCCATTATTGTTTCTGGAATTTATATTGATTTGGTAATTGATTACTATTTTGATCTCGAAATTTTGAGTTGAAGAACAAGCCTTTCCTTCGGCCGGTAACCATAGTCGACGACGACGAAGGTGATAGTGGAAGCAGATCTAACTCAATCTATGGCTAAGCTTGCTGCGGGCTTTAGAATTAGTGTCAAAACAACATTGAAGCGTTTGAGTCAAATCGAAAAGATAAAAAAGCCAGATACGTGGGTGCCAAACGAACTAAGCGACCATCAGCGAGACTTACGCGACGAAGCATGCATAGCACTGCTCGGCATAGAAAAAAGGCAATTCTGAATCGAATTATTACCTGAAAAGCGGATCCTGTACGACAGCCGTAAGCTTTTGTCTCAGTGGGTGGAAAAAAGATTACCAATAGGAAGATGATGGTGACTGTCTGGTAGACTAGTACATCACAGCTTGTTACCAAATGGCACAACAGTGACGGCAGATGTCTATTGCCAAGATTGTAAACAATGGTAGAGAAGCTCGCAATTCAACTACCACGAATGGTATATCGCTGTTCCCCATTCTTCAACGCGTGAGCAGAAACCTCACGACAGACCATTGCAAAGTTACAAGAGTTACAACTGGAAGCTCTCCGTCACCCACGGTACTCACCGGACCTTGCCCCAACAAATTTCCACTTTTTTCAAAATGTAGATGGTTTTTTTTAGTGGGCAAAAATTTAACACGCGAACGGCAAAACGCTTTCGCGTACTTCATCGCCTCCTGGGCAAAACACATCAACAGCCTTTAATAGTCCACTACTGGACATAGGCCTCTCCTTAGAAAGGAGGTTTTGGCTTACGTCCCGGTTTTGGCAGTAGTCAGCGTGGCCAGACGGGATAAACAAACTGCCATAAAAATGGCAAAATTGTTTAGATTATTTGGGCCAATATTTTGATTACCTGAAATAAAAAAACGTTTACGTCGTCGAGCTTTCGCATTACTCGACAATATATGTCCTGTTCATATCAATATAGGTATTTTGAAATGAGAACATAATTTAATTAATAACGAATAATTTCTTTAACTAAATAAAAAAAGTATGTCAAAGAATGTGTTCGTTTGACAACTTTAATGTTTTCAAAGGCATATAATATTCTCGTGACACACGACTAGCGATAGAAGTACTGTCTTTTTTTTATTAACCATTGATTATTTTTTATTTTATTAGACTCACTAAAAATGAACGTAGGTATAACGCATGGGTCTGCCAGCGTCAGCGGCAGTCAGTTCTGCGGGTAATGTATCGCTCCAGACCTTAGTTTTGTAAATGGTCCGGAGCGACCGTACATGGAGCGCCGTCGCTGTCTTCTGAGAGGAGGTATAATGTCTCCAAAGGAGGAGAGAAAACGCAGCACCGGTCTCTCCAACTGGGCGTCGGAGGGCATTCGTAAATCTCGAGCCACCTTAGGTAGGTATAACACATAAATAGCACCTCTACTGGCATATTAATTTATTCCAATCAAGTTTTAAATGTTGCAGTCATCTGAGGCAAGTCTACAGTTTAAAGTAATAATATAAAAAAACGAGTAAACTTTACAAAAATCGCTTCCGTAGGTCACTATTTAAGGTTTGAGATGCTATGAATAAGATGCTATAATGCTGAAAATAGAACGCATCTGTGTCAATTATTATTAAAAGACAAATTTATTTTAAAATCGAACACAAAGAGTAATGTACAGGATTTAAAAAATAGAAGCATTATACTGTCATCATTTCCTGCTTTTTCGTCTGCTAGAATGGACCTTAAACGTGAACATTTGCGTGCTGTGAAATACTACGACTTTAAATGTTATTTATCTGATGGTTTAAGCTTAGAACGTTTCAAATCAGCTTTATGTGAGTCTGCTCCTTCTCGGTCATTTTTAGATGGTTTCATCATCAACAGCCCATGATAGTCCACTGCTGGACATGGGCCTCTCCTTAGAAAGGAGGTTTTGGCCTACTATACCACGCTGGCCAGACGGGTTGGTATAGGGTTTGTTTCAAGTTTTCCTTCTCTTTGCAGTGCTGTTGTCTTGCGTAGTTTTCTCCCCTAGTCGACTTTTACGACACCCACGGGATGAATAGGGGTGGTGACATTACGTATTCTTAATTCGTTTAGATGGTTTAACGAATTTAAAAGGGGAAAAACTAGCCCTGAAGATGATGACAGAAGTAGATGCCCGCCAACAGCAGCCACTGCTGAAAATGAGTGGACTACTGAAATGATTGTGTGAGATGACCTACGAATTACATACAGAGACATAAAGAAAATCTTAAGCATCAGTTCCGTTACTGTTCACACCATGTTACATGAACATATTAGAATGAGGAAGCTTTGTTGTCCTCTTTGTTTTACCTCGTTTGCTTTCCGAAACGGAAAAAGAAGTGTGGAATGGTGCCGTGAGATGCGTCTACGTTTTAAAAATAGTAGTTCAAGTTCGTGGTTCTGAAATCAGTACTGGCGACGAAACGTGGATATATCAATATGATCCGGAAAGTTATTTTTCACGAAGTGGACATCTTCCTACATTCATCTCTAAGAATTTTAAGTCTATTAATTCAGAATGGTACACTACAGTCACATTGCCAAGAGTTTTCAAAGCTGTGCAGGAGAAACGACCAAAGACCTTGCTCTGGGGAATGATGCTGCACGACGACAATGCGTCTTCACACTCTTCCCTCTGAACAAAGGCGTTTATTTAAGAATCGGGTATTGAAAACCTACCTTACCCACATTACAGCCCTAACTTAGCTCCTTGTGACTTGTTTCCCACTATAAAAGGTAAGATAAAAGGCAAGTTTTTTCAAGTACCGAGAAGCGGTAGTTGCACGCGAATCAGCCATTTTTGACTTGTTGGAGGAAGACTGGAATAAGTGTTTCCAAGACTGGTTTAGGCGGTATGAAATTTGTATAGAGAGTGATGTATGTAAATTTTTTACTTTTCGAGTGTCTCATAATTTATATAGTGACCACCTACCATCTGACGACCATTGCTGATAACATAAATAATGTATATGCATCATATGTGTTACCGACAAACTATATAACCCTGTATTCTATTTAATACATAGGTTAGTGATGTATAAAATACCTGTGGAGTCGAGGCAATGTATATATTGGTCCACATGTAAAGTGAACTATGTGCCTATAAAATGAGGAATAAATGAAACATATCATATTTTCTCAAAATTAACTTTATTAAAATAACAACATAACAATTATTTAATATAAGAATATATCTTTATTTATTTTAAATAAATAAACATAACTATGTTCAACAAAACTTTTTTATGTAATAAATAAGACTTATCTGAAGGACTATCTAGTCTGATATCAACACGACCGCTATTTAATAATTTTTGACGTGATCAGCTTATGTTGAGACTGTTTTCCTGATTCTTATGTTAAAAACTTGTTAATTTTTATTTTGGGCTGCAACAAAAATAAAATAATTTTAAACACACTTTTTAGCACATAATTTTTTGAGACGGGGAAAGCCTGAAGGGAAGAGCATTTTAAAATCGTTTCACAAAACTGGCAGCATACGTCTGTTGTTTTTTTTTGTAGTGGTGTACGCGAGTGACATCAGACATGTTACGCAAGTGTGTATGTAAGGTGTAAGAAATACTAAGCTCTAAAACTCTGACTGGTCAATTAGGGCAATTCAGTTATCAACACCCCTTTATTGATTATTTATTTGGTTGAAAATAACTCTGTTATGGTAAGTGGTTACCACCGCTCATGGACACTAAGAGTCACAACAAGAGCGTTGCCGATCTTGGTTGGCCTTGTGGCGACTCCCACATACAAAGAAACAAAACCATACTACAGCGCCATCTAACAAAGACACACCGAACTACGGAGTAACTTCTGAATCAGAATTGGCAAACCTGGATTTCTGGGGTTTGTGGTACTTAACTTCATTCACTCGGTAAAAAGCGACCAAAGAATCGCTTGATACCAGATTTTTGTGAGCCCTTGGTATCACTTCGCCGGCCAATGTGGGCCGAAACGTTTGATTTTTATCAATACTTACGGCATTCACTATAGGGTACACATGTCCCGTTGTTCTTCCAGTAGCCACTGATGCATCTACACTGAGGAAAGCACTCGACTACGATGAGATTGTAGCCGAATATGGGGCAACTGCCATCAGGAGTAGCTTGTGAGCAATCGTCTGTCGGACAGTACGAAGGACAGCTCACGTACTCTGTGTTGGGGGCGGTACAAGGAAAGGGTGCTGAAAAAGAGAGGCACATTTTAAGAACGGTTATTTTTCTTATTCCTTTAAAAAATTTCTTTATTTTAAAGTATACGTGGTATGGTAGGCCGAACCTCCAGCCTATGTCCAGAAGTGGACTATCAAAGGCCGTTGATGATGAATTTGAAATGTATAAAACCCTCAGAAACAAATTCCTTGTTTTAAAATAAATGACGGACCAACAGTCTAGTATAGTGATCCTCACTACTACAAACTGTTACAAAGACATCGACGACATTTGTATCACACTCAGGGCGGCATGAGGCGCTGGTAACCGCCGAGCTTAGTCTTCACTGGTGGCAGATGGGACTCAATTCCCTCCTAGTGACCGAGTGCAGGTACTTCGCGAAGCAGCCCGGGAAGGACCTGTGTCTGTCGGAAGGAAAGGGTCCCATGCTGCCGCCCCGCCCATTCGACGATAACCGGCCTGCGCCTCCACGGCGGCAAATCCAGCACGTGAAACCTCACGCCACTCGTGTATCTCTTCGGGCGGGGGCCGACTGCCACTACCTGCCCGGAAATCAGCCGGCCGCCGATATTCTTCGTTGAGCACTTCCGCCTCTTCCCTATACCAACCCGTTTGGCCGGCGTGGTATAGTAGACCAAAATCTCCTTTCTAAAGAGAGGCCTCTGTCCAGCAGTGGACTATCAAAAGTCGGTTGATGTGATGATGATGATGTTGATGATTTATTTTCTTACATTAATCCTAAATTATAAACTAAAGTAATAAAGTATTTCATATAGCTTATAGCATTCCTCGATAACGGGCTATATGACAATAAAAGTTTTTTTTAAATTCAAACAAGTTGTTACTTAGATTAGTGCGATCAACCAAACAAACAAACTGTCCAACTTCATAATATTAATAATTATTTTAGAGCATATTTGATTACCATAAAAAAGGTTGTAGTTATAAAGATAGACAAATGCCGTCTTTTTTTTTAGAATTTTTAAAGCGGACCAATTCTGTCATACATGATTTTTGGGAAACTTCAACCGTTTACGCAGCGCACGCAACTGAATCTCTCAAATGGAATAATTTTCCCCCGTTTTTGCAACATTTTTCATTGATACTACGCTCCTATTGGTCGTAGCGTGATGGTATATAGCCTTCCTCGATAAATGGACTAGGAGTTCCTGAGATTAGCGCGTTTAACCAGACTCTTCAGCTTTATAATTTTAGTATAGATAGTCTATTAGAAGGTTTACAGTTACCGTTGAAAGTGCAGCTTCGTGATATATTATACATTAATTAGGCGGTAACACATGCGACGAATAACAAACACTCTGGAGCCGTATTGTCATCAAGGCTACTATGATAACAGTCGTTGGTACCTTATGTCAAATGTTTGCTAAGGTTTATTGTTCTGCAAATAACCTTATTTAAGTGGTTGTCAAATTCTATAGTTCTATCAACAGTGAGAGAAAGGTCTACAAGCAAAATTATATGAATTCTTCAATAAATTATAATATAGATACAGCACGACTTGTTTACTTCAGTTATTTTGATAGCATTATGTCGTACGGTATTCTACTGTGGGGGAGCGCTGTCGACATCCAAACTATTTTTGTGCTGCAAAAGAGAGCGATTCGAGCAATTTATTACAAAGGCTTCTTGAAATGAAATGATGTATATGCTTTAAATACCAGAAATAGAAATAAACTTGTTGTACCTGCCTCTAGGCTCCAAAAGATAAACAAGTCATTTCGAGGTCAATGTGTCCGATTTTATAATAAAATCCCAATAAAATACAAGACGTACCTAAGTATCAACAAATTTAAATCCACAGTGAAGTGTAGGCTGGTCAGAAGGCCATTTACTCGATTGTGGATTACATACAAGACAAGAATGGTTGGGATTAATTTAACACAGGCTATTTCTTAAGTGGAAGTACAGTGTGGGCTGGTGTGCTTTTTATTTATTTTTCTTATTATTATGTTTTACTTCACTCTCAATTCTATTTCATATTTTTTTCTTTATCTTGCTTTCTCTTCATTACTAAAATTACATTACTAAAAGATAAACTTTTAGTCCTTAATGACTGACATACTGGCGCACACATCAAAAACAAACAACAACAAAACAACAGTCACTGTAGGCGTCATTAAATATATCACAAAATTACAGCTAGCTGCAATTAAAAAAGAGTGGTCGTGAGTTTGCTTGCCCTTTCTTCTTATAAGGCTCAACCCCTTGGAAACGGGCAGTTGTAGATTGGCAATCATCTATTTCTCAGTCAATCTATTATATGCCTTATAATGGTGATATAATTTTGCTAAATATTTGTCAAAAAAATTGTTGCTATTGTTCTATGAGTCAGACGATTTCAAATAATTTTTATTTTTTTGGCATATTAGATTTTGAATTTGAGTCTAATAAATTCACACATCTCTCATACGGCCGTCTGATCCCAAATGAGGTAGAGCCTGTGCTGTGGTAATAAGACCGCTGATAAACATATTCATATATTTCTAAATACATACATATTATAGATAAATTACACCAATACACAAAACAAATAATTTTGCTCATCACGCAATTATTTGCAATTGGTGGGAATCGAACCCACGACAACCGGCTTAGTCGGGGTCACTAACCAAATAATATATTCTTCTTATTTAAAAACATTTAAATAATATTTTCTTCTTCTTTCTTATTTCAAATACATACACACACACATACACACACACACACACACACACACACACACACACACACACACACACACACACTTCGCCAGTTTTTTTAAATGTTTCAAGGCCGTATCTTACCTAAAATTACTTAAATATCATTCGAGAACAACATTAAGTGTGATTTTTTAAATGAACTCAATAACAATAATACAACACAAGTAATTCAGATTTCTAATACTATCCGAATAAAATATAACAAAATTGAACTTTAAACGACAACGACAACGAAAGTAGGTTGCTATATTACATCCTTGTTACCTTTTACCTGCCAAAGCCACCATAGTCTAAACTCCATAGCAGGCTGTCGTTACAACCCGTGTTGGGACCATGCGCTGAGAAATTTTCAGCGTTTATAAAATGACAAAGGTCTGGCGGCGGAAGATCTTTTTCTGTAGGTAGATGGCGCTATGTGGTAGGCTCTATTTAAAACTGTCTAAGTCCCGTAACTGTAAAGTGCTCCTAATGCTCAAGGAACCAACAGAACTGCCTGACTGCACGGTTGGCGTAGTGGTTAAAGAGGTCGCCACGCCGCATCCTACTACGCCGAGTGTTGTGGGGTTCAAACCCCACATGGGACGACACTTTGTGTAATCCACAAATTGTTGTTATGAGTCTGGGTGTTCTTTGTGTCCGTTTCATGTATGTTTGTAAAGTCCCCCGCGACACAGGATATTTTCCTAATGCGGGAGTTGTCTTTTATAAATAAAAAAAAATGAATAAGCTCTACCAACTTAACATTACTGAAGTCAGTAAGTAATAAAACTTACGGCAATCCCGTGTCGATATACAAGCTCTATTTTCAGCTCTCCGCATGTTGAAGCCACATTTGCACTTCGGCTCTCCACATACCTTTGGTTTCTCACACCTTCTATCTTCTTCTGCATGCTTTGGGCAATAGTCTGATAGACATTTAGCCGGACACTTCACTAAGTCCTCGTTGGGGCCGCATGTCAATTGTTCTGAAAGTGTTTACAACATAGTAGGTATTAGTTCAACCAAAGGCTTTATACAGGTTTTTTGCAAAATCTACAATTATTGGATTTTTTTGTGGTATAAGGGCGCAAATGCCGCTCATGGACACCTGCAACTTAAAGAGTTACGCGTTGCTGTGTTGCGCAGAAGTGCTTAACACAGGTTCTCCAACGATTAACGGTTTCCCGTCGTCAGGTCTGATACCAGTCAGGCACTCAAGATTCATAAATATGAATGCCGTGATGATGGTATAAAGGATGATGATCCTTTTACTCCAAATTTATTTGGTGTGGCCGCAATGAGTTTTTTTTCCATTCTCCTCTATCTCTCGTCAGTTCACTGCCTAGCCATTCCTTTCCTAGCCACATTCTCTTACTATCTTCGATCTTTTTTTTGGTCGTTCTCCTATTCTTATATCCGTGAACTTCTATACCTTGAACTTTCTTCACTACGTTTTGCTCATCTCTACGCATCACATGTCCATGCCAGGAAAATCTGTTCTCAACTTCTCAACTATTCATCCACCGGTGCTACTTTCATACTTCCTCTAGTGTAGTCATTCCGCGCATTGTTCATTCTAGTCACACCACACATGCATCTCAACATTCGCATAAATATGAATACCACTTATGTAAAATTTTATTCCACGCTATGTGATGACATGGTACAGGGAATACTCAGGGAAGGGGATCGAATAACAAGTTTGGGAAATACGTTATGACATAATACTTCTTATTATGTATGTAATGTATTGTATTTTAGATTAATACAAAAACGTTTTTACAGGATAAATTTGTGTAGGTGTGGATACCTCAATATGTAAAAATACTCAATAATTTATGTATCTATCTTAACTAATATCACAAACGAACACAAATATTGTAGAAAAGTAGGATTTTTCTTTGTAAATAAAACTAGCATTTTTTTGATATCTTAATAAGCAGCGTTTACAAACTCACAGTAAATACTCTTTAATAAAAGTAATAATGAAACGACCAAATTCGTTTTAAGTGTAATGTCACAGGCAAGACCTAGTCTTTCAGTAAATTACAAAAGAAGTATAGTGTTCTGTTCAGGTATTTTTCAATTTGTACAAATTAATAGTCCACTGCTGGACATAGGCCTCTCCCTAGAAAGGAGGTTTTGGACTAAAATCTCTTACGTTTTGGTCTCGCTGGGATCAATAAACAATTATGTAATCATCCTAACTCCAGAACTGTGTTTAGTTTGGACTAGTCTCATCATTAAATTTCTGTTCTTTAATCCAAAACAAATATTAGGAACGTAACTAGGAAAAATACTTCTTTCTGGATGAGCCCGCAAAAAGGGAATCTGTTGATAACTACTATGTAGTAAATAAATTGTAACAAAACTGTTTTTTTTTAATATAGAGTAATACATTTAATAAGTTAGAAGTTAAGATACCTGTAATGAGGTTTATTTTGTTTTATTTAAATTACATAAACAAAAGTAGCATAATTAGAAGCAGAGAAACGTTTAACTTTCCTCTCATTATTCAAATTTACAAAATGGCGTTAGAAATGGTATTGAGCTACACTCGACCACTCAGCAGTGGTTAGTGACCCTGACTGCTAAGCCGGTGGTCATGGGTTCGATTCCTACCCAAGTCAGACAATTATGTGATGAGCATGATCATTTCTTCTGTGTCTGGGTGTAATTTAATAATTGGAAATATTTGAGTAAGTTTATTAGCAGTTAACATAGCACATGTGGTGACAGATTAACAATACGGAGTGTTGCCACCCCTATTCATCCCGTGACTAAGGAAGCAAACTACGCAGGACGACAGCACTGCAAAGAAAAGAAACTTGATACAAACCCTATACCAACCCGTCTGGCCAGTGGTATTTAGTAGGCCAAAACCTCCTTTCTAAGGAGAGGTCTATGTCCAGCAGTGGACTATTAAAAGCTGTTGATGTGATGTGATGTGATGTAACATAGCACAGACTCTGCCTAGTTTCGGATGAGATTGCCGTGAGTAAGATGTGTGAAGTTATTATTATTATTAGTAGGTATACATATATTTTGGAATGCGATGGTTTAAAAGCTAGTAATAGATAGTCTGATGTGATGAGGCAGTTTGCCTTTGTCGGTTACAAACCAGACTTTGGAGCTACCAGGGCGATAATAATATTATTCGAAACATCGTGTCCTAAGTTGTTAACTCAAATTTACACCTACTTCACTAACAATTTACTTACCAATGAAGTTATTACCTTGAAGCTATTTCAGTATTTAAGTCAGCTATGTTAAACACTAGTAATTAGAATTGGAATTTGTGCATTAGTAAACTAATTAGGATCACATGTATAATAAATGAGAAAAACTAACCAGTAGATCGGATCACAGTTGCGATGACACAGAAAATAATTAACACAGCTCGCGTCATGTTCTTTGCTTGCCTTCGGCTGCAATGAATTTCTAGTAATATTACTGTACTCTGTGGCAACGAACCTGCTTCACTATTATTTGTTGTAGTTTAGTCATTGAGTTAAAACAACACTAGAGAAGCAAACCTCATTATCACACGTCGAAAAAAGTGTAACCACTTTTGAACTTTGACGACGTAGCTTTGATACCACGAAACATTTGAAAGTAAACATATTTATGTCTCATTTACACGCGAGACAAGAACAATACCATCGCTCGGATTAGACAAAGACAAAGACATAACTTTACGATGGTGGGCCAGTGTTGACTACCGTATGAAATTTTACCCATAACAACCAAGAAACATTTTTTTTTTAAAACAATTTTGTAATAAAATAAATTAATTTAAATATTTTAATTAATATATTTCGAATTGAATGGAATAGGTATAAATAATAAAATAACTAGAAATATTTGGTTAAAAGGGTTTATATTCAGTGTAAAATCAAACTCCGCTATGAAGCATCAGTTTTGTATACAATTGTCTTTTAGACTATTTTTTATAAGTTTGTGTGAATATTTTACTTTCATGATACAATCTTATTTTTACCTATGTATACATAATGGCATTTAATAGTAAAAGTGAATTATCAACTTGTACTGATAATAAATAATCCCCAGGGTGTATTGCAAATTCTTTTAAAATTTTAAAATACAAATATTTTTTTTTTATTAAATATATATATATATATTCTTTTTGTTTTTTATATTTTGTTATTTATATTTCTTTACTTTTTATTTTATATATATATATATATATATATATATTTTTGTACAATTGTTATTTATATTTGATAATTAATTAAGAAAAATGAATGAATGAATTAATTCTTTTATACAAAAGTCTCCAGCACTGCGAGCTTGGCAGAAGGTGAACGTTCAACGGGTCCCTAAAAAAAGTGATCGATTCAGCCCTAACAACTACCGTTCTTCCTATATTTTATTATTATTGACAAAATGTTTAAAAACAGTATAAAGCATATTATTTCATAAATTATAAATTCTCCCACTAATGTGGGAAAACAAAAATGATTTTTTAATGGTAACACTGATTCTAAATTACAATTATCAATGTTTTATTTCAATTATAGCCTTATTTACGATATTATCAATACAAAAACCATAAACTTACACGGGATAAGTAATTCCGCATGATTTATTATGGTTTTGTGACCTTGAATCGCATTCTTTCACTACGCATTTACCCATTTTGGCGATTGTTACTGTCATATGTCGCTATGTTCAACTCGGTTGACGCCACATTGAACACTGAATTGACGTTTGCTACGCATATGCCTGTGGACAGATGTGCAGTAGCAACGATTTTAGGCGGTAATTACTCATCTATGTAAGTATTATATCAATGAGTTTAGTGGTATGATATGAGAATAACTCCTGCTTTATTAATTATTTTATAACAGCGCCCTCTGTGAATGAAACCTGTAACTAAAGTAAGTTGAATTTCCACTAACTGCTTTTTTATTTTTAATAGATGGCAGGAATATTCAGAAGGGAAATTTGTTTTTGTATTTTTTTTTGTTTTTAATTTTACCTTCTTTTTTTTCTTATCTTTTTTTTTTTAAAAGACAACTCCCGCACTAGGAATAAATCCTGTGTCGCGGGGACTTTACAAACATACATGAAACGGACACAAAGTACACCCAGCCTCAGAACAACAATTTGTGGATCACACAAAGTGTTATTCCATGTGGGGTTTGAACCCACAACACTCGGCGTAATAGGAAGCGGCGTGGCGAATGCTTAAACCACTACGCCATCCATGCAGTCCTTCTGTACTTCCCTGCCATCTGCAAACCTTTGGTTTTATTATTGTATGCAGATAAAAATTGTTATATTATAACCTAAAAAAGTGTCTAGAAATCCAGATAGCACCTTCTTTCCGTTTGAGCTCAAACCAGCAACATAAGACGTTGCTCCTAAGGGGCCTCTATCCTGAATTGAACAAACCTTCCCATCACCTATCTACCTTGTCAACAATATATTCACGATTTCTTGGATGCACTTATATCGATATGTTGTTGCATTAAAAAAGGTTGAGCTAATCTGGCAAAATCTTATAAAAAATCATATAGAAATAGATTTGTAATACAGAGTTGCTGGAGTATATATATATGGTGTTTTCTATAGTTCAAAGCCGTAAATTCCGGTTTCGTATTGTACTCTCGTATTCAAATGTCATTGTTTCTTTAGTTAATAATCAGTGTTATTCTAATAATAATTAATAAACAAAGCATTAAGGACAAAATTAACTACATATTTTTTTATGTATGTTATTGATGTGTGTTCGGTCTGAACTCCGTCATATAAAGACGGATTTAAAAATACTTTTTTTGTTTTCTTTTTTTAAAGGATTGATGTCTTGTCCTTTTTAGATTCCTTACATCACAAACTTATTATTTATTATATAGAACATTATTTCTGTTTAATTCGGAAGAGAGATCTTTATTCTTGATCCATATCACTTATTAACCAGGCTGCAGACAGCTCAAGTCGGTGCCGAAATTAGTGTTTCAGATTTCTGGTTGTTAGAGTTTTATGCTCCGTTATATCTTTCCATTTTCTACGAAGTTAGAACACTTCAAAACAGCACATTTTAAATTACGAGTATTATCGGTAAAGTAACGTTATCAATAAAGTTACCGTCACGTAAAAAAAATACCGCAACAACTTCTGACTTTGTACGAGTCGCTACCTACTATATATGTCTTGGTCAATCTATAACCGCTCGGTTCCAAACAGTTGAGTTGTGAGAAGAAATCAAACAAGCAAGCAGACAAACTCTCGGCTACTTTTTTATATCACCAAATGACCAATTTTTTGCACTGCGTTGTGATATTGTAAAGATTAATAGTAACTTAACTAAATTGCTGTAAAAATAAGGAAACTAAAAATTAAGGATAAAATGCATGCAGATCTGACGGGAAGCGGCCGGATGGCTTGACTTTGGTGCCGTGGAAAAACGGCAAGTGCTTGGTATGGGGCGCTACATGCGTTAGCACAGTCGCGGCCTCACATCTGAGTCGCACCGTCCAAGCTCCGGCGGCGGCGGCGGAGGATGTCGCTAGTAGGAAGCGATCAAAATACGCCGCAATGGAGACGCACTATTATTTTGTGCCTATTGCGGTGGAGACTTTGGGCAGTTGGGGGTCGGAAGCTAAAAAGTTAATTGCGGAGATTGGTCGCCGAGTTAGGGATAAAAGTGGTGACTCCCGCTCCGGTTCGTTTCTGGTGCAAAGGTTGGCCGTTGCAATTCAGCGAGGCAATGCTGCCAGTATCATGGGCACCTTTGCACCGGAAGCGACGCGGGCGGGTTATATGATCTGACTTGAATAAAAAATAATAATAATTGTAACTTAAATGTATGTAAATGTAAAATAAGTAAAATTAGTAAAGGATAAAATTAATAATTAAAAGAAAAGCAACTAAAAACTATGAGAAATGGATCAAATCACATTGTCATAATGTATGATTTTACATTTTCACTAAATTGTTATCTTCTAATCAAGTTTTTCAAGTTTTGAATACAGTCCACTACTTAGTGATTGTCCTGAAGGCTACCTGTGTGTGCTTTTCCTGTAGTCTTAAACTTATGGAGACTTAAAACTTTGTAAATGATCTAGGCTTTAGTGATAAATTCGGATTACCGTCTTCTGGAGCACTAAGACAGATTGAAAAAAAAAGCCGACTTTCCTCAGCAGAAGAATAGCATTCAAATTTATACTTTGAAAATAAGTAAAGTAGACTAAATGTGGTTGTTTAATTATTAGTCCGTTTACGAACTTTGTAAGTACGTATGCTCGTTGGTACGTCAAGAAATAAAAATGAGATACAATGTCAATTAAAACATGTAGTGTCAATCTAATTAATGATGTCATATATACATAATAATAGTTTTAAATTATAATCATTTAATGTTATTGTCGTTACTAAAATTACTAATATTATAATAACATTTACTAATTAATATTTTATGATGTTCTATCTTAAAATGTATTAGTTTTTTTTTATGGTATAATTAGGGCAAACGAGCAGACGGGTCACCTGATGGTAAGCAACTACAGCTGCCCATAGACACCTGCAACTCACAAGTGCGTTGCTGCCTTTGGAATCTCTCCCGCTCGAGTCAGTCAGGAAAGGCAACGAAAGAATTACTTAACACCGGTTTTCTGTGAGACCGTGGTGTCACTCCGGTCGAGTAGGCCCATTCGTGCCGAAGCATGGATTTTTATAATTTAAGAATATATATAAGAATTTGTAGTAATCTACTAGTTCTCTCGTCCCCTTTAACCACTACAGTACAATAAGGTAAATTTTCATATAACATTTGTAGTTGAACGTTTTGATCTAAATAAGAGTGATAATATATCATACACAAACAATACTATGCAGTAATTGCTCTTAACAAGATGAGGTAAATTATTAGAGTAGATTAAGATCAGAAGTGGCCCCAGTTTGGGACCCTGAGGAACTCTAATTTTAACTGCAGATCCTGGCACCCTGGAATAACTAGCTTAGGTATTATTCAACAATATCATTTCAAACTTGGGTCAGTATTGTAGGCGAATAACCAGACCTCCACACACTTATGCGCACACATATACCACAAAAAACATAAAACGCTTTCAGGAACACAGGCAAATAATAATGGATTGGTGGATGTTGGCTTTATTATATTTCCAACTTCTTCAATTTACTTTTAATTAATTTTGTTACGGGTTCCAAGACAGTTTGAATTTTTCTTATGACTTCTCGAGTGCCATAACTCGGTGTATTCGTGGTTCACCGGTTTTGATCAGTGACCTCGGGAGTATCTGTTATGGCTTTGGCTAGTGATAGAATTGCAATAACCGTTTTTGTTTACCTAAATCGGCTTTTTAAACTCTAGTAATTGTAATTAAAAATATTTCACTACTAAACAAATTATAATCGCATGTAAATTAGGAAAAACACCAGTAGATTGGATCACCGCAGCGATGACAAACAAAATAATTAACACAGCGTGCGTCATTTTCTTTACTTGCTTTAGCTGCAATGAATCTAGCACATTATTGTGTTTTTTTATTATAGTCTAACTAGTATAATGAAATAGGTAAACAGTTTCTAATTCAGCAATTATTTTTACAATAACGCCATCTATGAATAAAAGTTGTAACTGAAATGGGGCGATGTTGTTTTTACTACTAATTCCTTTGTGTTGTTACAGATGGCTGGACAAAGAATATTTAATAGCTACCGTCAAACCTTGCAACTTTGCCCGAATTCTCTCGGTTTTGATATTTAACGATGAATAACGTAAAGAATAAAAATATTTTTATTGCGTAATTGCGTTTATTTGGTAGTAAAGGTACTGTTTTTATACAAATTATCTTATAATACGAAGATAATTTGTATAAAAACAGTACCTTTACTACAGTATAACAGAACAGTAATTACTAAAAAACAGTATTTAACTATTTCAATATAATTAAAAATTAAAGAAACAATGATAAAACAACAGAATTGATCATATTTTTTAAATTCATATTTTCCTTCAATGTGATTGGTTTTCATGGCTGTGGCGTTTATTGCTTATTTTGGGCTGTAAGAAAAAAAACCCTATTAGTCATTGCACATTACTAGTAAATAAGGCTTATATATAACTTATTCGCTAAAAGTCATGGCAAAAAGGTTCGATTACAAATGAGAATGATCATTTGTTGTACTGGTTTTTCTCACGAGCGGAGATAAAAATAATATCAAAATTATTTTCATTATTTTCGAAGTCATTTTTGCATCAGAATGATATACATTTATGGGAGTTTTTTTGTCAAACTAATAAGATATGAAATAGCTTTTTGACCATTATATTTTGCCTGACAAAACTGTTCAAATTATTGCCATAACCAAAATTTAAAAATATGTTGCAGCCCTAATTTTTTTTTATCGATTACAAGTCGATGTATCAATCGATTTATAAAGCAGCTGGTTCGCTTTCCTTAGTTTTTTTTTTACATTACACATCATCAAGACATGACTTAATAGGACCTAATTATTGCACGCATTAGTTGTATCATCTGGTTATCTATACTTTTCAAAGTGCCGTCCATACATTCATTCGTTATACCTTACCATTAAAGGCAACTATAAAACAAAATTACGGTGTAAAATAACCAGCTATGAGAAATTGTTTGTCGAGTGTAAAATCCTGCCAGTGCATGAGAAGGTAGCGCTATTAGTAGCATTAGATCATTACTGCCACCAAGAGTACAAAGTCAGGGCTGTGCAACTAAGGCCTCGAAGTGCAAAATATTGTAGGACGTTTGAGGTGCCCACTTGCCATAATTATTATGGCCAAACTGCTGTGCAGTTTGGCAGAAGTAATTGAATATTGTAATACGTTTTTAAATTTAAATAAACGTTTTTAAATTTATTATGTATTTATTTTATTTTATTATTATTTATTTTTATGGCCGGTGTCGGTGTGTATTTTATAGTTTGGCTTACAGTACTATTTACAGATACGCCTTGTTTATTCACGTTTGACCTTTTCATTATTGAACATGGGCACGGTAGACCGTGTAGGTATTAAGATTTCAATCGCAAATATTTATAGAAATACTAATCAAAATTAAAACTTACGGCATTCACTATAAGGTACACAGTTGTTATTATGTCTCCAGTAGCCCCTCTTGCATCTACACCTAGGGATGCACTCAATTTCCAGGATCGAGTTGTCCAATTGAGGACAGCCTCCATCAGGAGTTGCTTCTGCGCAGTCCTCAGACGGGCAATATGCGGGGCACGGCGCGTACTCAGTGTTGGGTGCACGACATAAAAAGGGACCTGGAAATGGAAGAGTTTTAAAGAAAATAATTTAAAGCTGCGCTCCAAAACCAACACTCAAAAGCTAATACAATGAGGCACTGTACCTTCATGTGCCCGTGGGGCATGGCGGAGTGGAATATTTTGAATACTTTAAAGTTTATATGTGGAAGAAGTGCAGTGAAAATTATGTGAAAGCAGCTATAAAAACTACAGTCGGATGGAGTCTTTAAGTTGACCAGCCACGGTACGGGAAGTCTATACTATTAACAAGCCATGTGTAGTTTTTGTTTCACTTAAAAGCGGTAGCCTTAGGTATTGGACTTGCGATCAAGAGGTTGCGGGTTAGAATCCTGACCAGTACACTACCGACTCGAACCCACTCCTAACACAAGCAATTTAGCTTAGCGGGAGGGGTTAACGGGAATACTAACCATTTCGGTTGCGAGTAAACCTTTAAAAAAAACACAAACGTACTTATATCGACATTAGAAAATCTTTATATAGGAAAAGGTGTCAAAGCTGAATCTTAGAAAATGTCAGTAAATACCTTCAGAAAGAAAAACATATTGGTATGTTTCTATCTAAGTTCAGATGATTTAACAACTTGTATTGTTTACTGTAATAACAAACTCAACAAACTCATTCCTGGATAGGTACACCTTGGGATGCATTCGATCGCGAGGGTCTATGGCCAGACTCGCGCGATCCACATTCGAGCATTCGAGACGATCTCTGTACCAGTTTTACTACATAAGTTGGAGAGATGGGAATAACAGGTAAACAAATAAGCCTTATTTGAAAGTTATCTCATTGAACGAAAACATATTGTGTAAAAGTAGGTACTTATGCGAATTCCTTCCTCACTGTTACGCACGGAATTCCTCAAGGTAGTATTTTGGGTCCCAATCTATTTATCGTTTATATTAATGACTTAACGAAGCTAAAAATTCCCAAAGGACAGATTTTTCTACGCTGATGACATCACTCTTCTTTTTACTGCTCAAAACTGGAACGAGGTTTATAGTGCTGCTAAACAGGGACTTGATCTTGTGAGAGTTTGGCTTTTGAATAATAATCTCACCCTAAACTCAGGAAAGAATCGAGCGAAGTCCATTTTCGGGGTCACTTAGAGGGTAAGGTCAAATTAGCCTCGAAGAAGCTCGGTGTCCTGAACAGGCCCACCGCCTTCAGCTCTATAAGGCGCAAGTCCGGCCGCATACGGAATACTGTTCTCATCTCTATGCAGGGGCACCTCAGTACCAGCTTCTCCCTCTGGACCGCATCCAACAAAGAGCGACTCGAATCGTCGATAGCCCAAACATCGTCAATCCCTTGGCGTTACGTAGAGATATGGTTTCACTCTGCATTCTCTATCGCATATATCATGGGGAGTGCTCCGAGGAATTGTTCGGACTAATGTCAGCCGTGACTCCTGAGTTGCAGACGGCGGCGATCACTTTCCATCAGGTGACCCGTCTGCTCGTCTGCCCCCTCTAACATCGTGCCTCATAATTGTAATTCTACTAGCGATTGCACATGTACACGAACAGAAAAAGTAACGCATTGGAAATATTTGGGCATCATTATAGTCTCTCATTTAAGGAACAAATAAAGCACCTAAGCTCAAGAGTTAGAAAACTCATATTTATTTTCAAGAACTTGCGTCATTTGAGCCGGTACTGCTGAAACCCGATTCTATATCCCACCAACCTTTTGTACCAATACTGTTCGGCAATGATTCATGCTAAGTACGAGTATTATCCTTAGACAACACCGAGAAACTAATTATAATGCAGATAATACTAAACGTAGATTTTATGATGCAGCCATACGTGTACACTCTTTAAGAACAAACAAAAAGAACAAAAAATATTATATATGGTATTTTTAGGTCTAATCTTATATAATAAAATTAATAAAACGGAAAACATTACTTTTTATCTATACAAATAAATAAAATTGGAGTGTCTGTTTGTAACATTAAAATAACTGCTTTTTACTAAATGCATATGTATGTTTACACAGTACATATGCCAAGATAACATTTTTTTACAATTTTTGACTGTCTGTATGTCTGTCTGTCTGTTTGTTCCGGGTAATCTCTGGAACGGCTGGACCGATTTCAACGGGACTTTCACTTTAAGAAGTAACTTAGGCTACTTTTTTTAGACTAGCTTTGCGCGCGGTTATAACAACAAACGCGGGTAACAGCTAGATATATATATATTACAACTCATAGTAAAGCGGAGTGAAAGACGAAAGTTTAATCCCAATTTCAGAATCTGTCTCATGACGAAACTGAAAACTGGTTATCAAATATGTGATTGGGTCACACACACATATGTATACATACACACTCATTCACAAATGGTTTGGTCTTTTTTTATTTAACAATTCATTGAACAATGGCTGACTTAATGCCACAGGCATTTTCTCCAAGTCTACTTTTCGGTGGTAGGGACATGTCTGAGTAGGTGCACTATAAATTAAGTTCTATATGTAACGAGATAATAATAATTAAGGATATGGACAGAACCAGTGTGACAGATATATGTACATACATATTGAGATGCATATATATACATATACTTGCTGCTGCTTTGCTTACATATAATACACTATATAAAACTTTAGGGATGTGATGAATCTGCTTGAGTGTCGAGAATTCGATCTCGGACTTTCGTCTTAAATGAGACGCGGCTGGGTGCTACCGTAATTTCCAAAGGCAGAGGGTTCCAGAGAAGGACAGATTGTAATAGACACATGCGAAAGTATGAGTGGGGCATAACAGAAGTGGATTGTTTGAGAATGATATGATATGAGGTGAGGTGAGATATGAGGAAAACCATTCCAGTGTATTCCGCGCAATCATAAGGTAGGAAAGGTTAGATAGAAGGATATCGTGACTGACGGTGTTGAATGCATTTGAGAAATCAACCAAAGCCAACACAGTATTTTTGGATTTCTCAATTCCTGCTCGGATGTCACCGGTCACTTTTAGCAGTGCGGAAGTAGTGTTATGCCCTGGCTTGAACCCCAATTGAGAAGCGCTTAGTAAGTTGTTACGGTAAATATGTTAGGATAGTTGTTGGGTCACACAGGCCTGGAGGGCTTTGGACAGGAAGGGAAGAATGGAGATTGGTAGGTGATTCAGGAGTGTTGGATTCGGGATCTTTGGAAGGGGTATGACAAACGCCAATATTTGTTATATGCGTAGAAGGTAATCGAGGATAGGGATGATCATGCGACGGTTAATGTTATGACATCCCATGGCGTTGGATTTGATTGAGAACATTGTCGTTTTAACCACACCTGATTCTACTGGAGAAAACTGAAAAGCTTCAATATTGGGAGGGGGAAGGTCCGCCAGGAACTCTAACGTCCAACATTTGATTTGGTAATCCAACTGCAATGATGAGGAGAAATGACGGATCATATCATCCAAATCAAAGGTCGGAGGAAATTTACATTTTTGGGTTTTGCCGATTCCTAGAGTTCCAAGGAACCTCCACATACCTGAGGCAGATGTACAATTTAGGTTTTTGAGCGTTACGCAGCATCAGGTTACACCGATTTCTCGCAACTTTGTAAATGGCCCAGTTTTTGTCACAGCGGTTTCTCTAAAATTTACGAAATGCCTTATCTCTGCAACGCATTGCCTCTTGAACGCATTCGGTTATCAAGGGGGCCGGAGGACGCTTAAATTTGATCTTCGTGATTGGAGCGTGTTGATCGTAAAGGTTTGTTAAGATGTTGTTGAAACTTTAACTTTATAATCTACTGTACCGGCCTCCAGCACAGGTTTTCAATTTAATTTGGAGGCATCATATCGGAGTTTGTCTTCATCCATCCTTCTGAGATAGCGAACATGTGGTACCTTATGACTGGGCTTTGGAGGTTTTAAGGATTAGGACACGTAGATGAAGCCATGGTACGAAAAACCAGGGGCAGAGTGTTGACCATGATTGCGGACGAGGGAGGGAGAGGAGATGAGGATAAGCTCCAACCAGGTGTCAGGTTCATAGACGTTGTGATGAGTGGCTTACAACGGAAGTATGTGCAAACTAGCTGATTCGATAACCCCGGAGGATTTATGGGAACGTGGGGAGTTGGAGGCAAGGATCGGTGTTGATCCGAAGGGATTTACCACCCCGTCATCCTAAAATAAAAAAGGGATGGATTCGATATTCGACTTGCCATGGTCATAGTCAGTCAAAATATCAGCTACACACATTTACAGACATACAATTACGCACATGAGACAAGCAAAAAGTTTAGTTGATACTCTGCTCAAGGTCAAGCTAGCAGCAATGACGTTGGCAAATATTTATATTCAAATCTTAATTACTTATCTTGTTGCTTAGCAAGCGATATCATTGCACAGGGTACTTTTTCGAAGAGCCTAATAATATCCAAAAGGTAATAAGGACAAAAATTATTGTAATAAAGTTAATTCAAATAGACTAAAGAACAATGGCAGAAACATATTTACCTAAAACTGAAGCGTTTAAAAAATTGACTAACAGTAAACTTACTAAATATTTTTTCTATGATTTATCATTATACCGCCATGTGTTGTATAAGTCTAATAAGAGATTGGATATTTTTAAAGATTTTATTTGACCTAAGTACGTAATGTCAGAATCGCCATCACGAACTGACTAGGGATGCGTGATGATATTATTATATTATGGAACGTTTTATCGATAATCGATTGTTATAACTTTTGCTTAAATACCTATCGAAGGTTCACCTATTATAATTATGTATTTGCTTCTGCCCACGGGTTTACTCATACGCTACCGTAACTAGTACTTTAGTGACTAAATCAACCTAATTAGAAATAATTTAGAATATTTTTGACTCTTTTTAAAAGATTTGTGCTACACCAAAATAAATAGAATATGGTTACGTTATTTTCCTACAGAAAAATACTAAAACAATTTACTGCTTAGTGTGATGAGAAAAAGTCATTGTAGGTTGATAACGGCATATAAATAGACATGCATCGATATTTTTAAAATGTCGATACGTCGTCGTCGCACTTATTATAACCCGGCAATCTCGTGCGCGACCGTCCCGCGGGGTGACAGACAGTGGCGGGGGCGAGGTAGCGCGTCATTCTAGCACACGGCTACACACGATTCCCTTCCCCGCTACACCACCCGCTACCCGCTGACATCGTGAGTACCTCGTCCCCGCCACCGTCTGTCACCCCGCGGGACGGTCGCGCACGACGTTGACGGACTATAGTCTTGTCGTTTGACACTTACACGCATGACTTACATACCATTTCTCACAAGGCAATTGTAGTTTATTTGGTTGTTTTACTTTTGTTTAGTATTAAACTCTCATATATGTTTATTTTAATTTTATATAGTGTTACTCCATTATGCATGATGTAATGCCTTAAAATGTTGTGCATTAATCTCAATATAATGGATGCATGCTTTAGATTTTAGTAAATAATGTCACAACTACTGACTGTTGAATAACTAAATAATTAAATAAATGCTCCCGCCTTGTATAAATGTGCATTGAAGTACATTCATTCAAATTATTATTAATAATTTATGTATTTATAGCTAGTATTACACCTGCTATGTAAGCGAAGATTTTTTTCTATTGTTTACCAATACATGCCAAGCAAATACCCTTCCTTCCTTCACCCATTTAGAGAGTCGGCTAACACTTTCTACAGCAAAATAGGGTTGCTTATAAGTAATAATAATGATGAATAATATTTTCGAATATATGACACACAACGCCATCTAGTTTCAAACAAAACATTTACAATATTTTAGTACTTAACCTCGAAACATTCAAAATCCAATATCTTTTTTCCTAGACTTCTTTCGCTAGTAATTTTTTTATGAGAATGTTCAAGAATAAATTCTCAAGGGTTGTAGGCATTTTTGATATTTAAACGCTGTCATTTCACTTCAAATAAAATTATGTATGGGGACCTGCCATTGTCCTTTAATGTTTACTCTGTTGATTAATTTTCAGTTCTGAGATGACGCCTAAATGTCATAGAAACTACTAACTGCTGAAATCACTTTATTTACTATGTATAAGCTTATGCTTTAGCAACTTCAAAAAGAAAATTATTGTCAAGAGCTCTAGATTCAGTATGGTTTGTACCTGCGACTTGAGGAGATTGCGACATGAAACGAATCGTGAATATACTCAGTGTTGGAAAACGAAAAAGAAAACGAAAAATGAAAGAAAATATATTAAGAATACTATTAAAAAAAAGGAATACGTTGCAGAATTTGGCTATAAACTGTGCCAAGGTTTTCTGCTTTAAACCTACCGTGGTTCCTACGTCAACGAACATTCTTAAAAAATGTTTTGGTCGTTACCGAATTCTTTTTAACTTACGACATTCCTGAGTAGGTATACAAGTTCTATTTTCTGATGTTCTTCTTGTATTGAAGCGGCATTTGCACTCGGGTTCTCCACACACTTCTGGTTTTGGACATGGCCGATCCTGGTTGGGGTAATCCGGACAGAAGTCAGATGGACAGTTCGCTGGACATTCGACAGGGATTTCGTAGTGGCCGCAAGTCAGTTGTACTGAAGAGATAAATAGTAGCATCAACATCACATTACCTTATTATTAAGCAGAACATATGCATAATCATCATAATTGGTAGTTGATCACAATATGCTATATGACAGGGTAAATTGTTGTATCTGGTTTGCTTTCTAAAGCTTTTATAAAACAATTTTGGGCTTTACCTATCGCTAAGAGTCATCGAAGAAAAATAAAAGGAAAATAATTGTTTAGAAACAGTTAGTATCTCTATATAAATATGCAAGAAAAATTCATCATTTGCAGTAGTGCGACTGACAAAAGTTTTTAAGTTTATTTATATATGTATATTACATTTATTTTTTATTGCAGTAAGAAGTAGTCTCTAGCACACAGGGATAATACACCTTTCTAACAGTGAAAGTATGTTTCAAATCAGATCAGTAGTACCGGAGATTACCCGAACATACAAACTCACAAAATTTTATCTCTTTATAATATTAAATACTTATCTTAGGAAACCTTCAATGGGATAATTTCAAACAATTTGCTTAGCTAATCGAACAAGGAAAAATCTAATAAAATGTTGACCGCAAACACGGATGTTGGTTTTAACATAAAAACGAAGAAGTGAGAAATTGGTCAACTGTGAAACGGATGCGTATTCATCCTTGTATATAATTTTTTTCGATAAATCAGAATTTAATTATTTTTATTTTACTTTTGGTTAAATACGATTTCTGGATACCGGACATTTTGATCAGGCACATTTGCAGTAATTAGATTTAAAATTTTGGAATTACTAGAATAGTTCGGTAACAATAATAATGTTTAGACACGAAGCAGTTATTAACAGCCAACAACGCACGACCTCCAAGATACCATCTCCTGACAGTCCAGATACGATCTTGAAAATTGTGATGTGAATAATAACTAGAACTTATTCTATACTGATATATAAATATATTATTATAAAGTAAGTAAATAAATGAAAGAGTAGGTTTAAAATTTTATACTTACAATTCAATATAGAATAAACTATAAATCAAAGATAATAATTATTTACCAGCAGCGTGTGTCGTGATCACGAATATACACAAACAAATGAATACATATCGCGTCATCTTGTCTCCTCACCTTTGGTGATAATGAACTACGGTATAAAGTTCGTCTATTTTATGTTCTAATACCGTTGATAGATTTGTACGTTACTAATTACATAGATCATAGTGCCATCTGTGTATCAAAGCCTCAACTTCTATGCATTTGGTAAAACTTCTTTGATAGAAATATCGTATGCTAAACCTCATTGAGCTCCTGCGTCAGTGTGACCCAAAAAAACATGTTTTATTCGTTCCACAGCATTAATTTTCTGTAAATATTTGTGTTATTTATTATCGGCTTCAACATGGCTGAAATCAAAAAGATACAACTAATTTAAATCTTAGGAAGAAGAATTTAACAAATCAATTGAAATCAAAAGGAACAACTTAGTTACAAAACAGACAAAACTAATAAAGGAAAGGATCAGTAAGTTAAATAGGAAGAATTAGTACTTTATTTAATTTTTACAGATACTAATTTCTACAATTTCTACAAACTATGAAAATAGTTTTGAAACTTATCATCGTCAGCCCTTAACAGTCTACTGCTGGACATAGGCCTCTCCTTACAATGGAGGTTTTGGCCTACTATACCACGCTGGCCAGACGGGTTGGTATAGGGTTTGATTCAAGGTTTCCTTCTTTTTGCAGTGCTGTTGTTTGCACAGTTTGAAACTTATGTCTACACTAAATTCTTTACCTGATGTAACAAAAATAATTTCCTTTATTCTCAATGTTTTTCACATGTTTATACTTTGAAGTTTATTAAATCAGCAACATATTGGGGCATCATTTAGTGATTATTTTCGAAATTTCAAAAAGAAAACAAAATAATGTAAGAGTTCACTTACAAAGTCCCTATTTGTTGAGTACGAATAGAATTCAGGTATATAGCCACTATTGTGTATGTTTAATTTATCTAAGTGCTGAAGCGAGAATTTTTAAGAAAAATTTCAGTCTTGAATTCTCTGAAAAAGACTTTACTACAGCCACACTCATGTTTATTTAATATAAATCAGTTGAGTTTATAGCTTCCCATAAGAAATGAGAACTACGTTGATGTGGGCAGTCAGTGTTATTGATGTGGGCTTCAGAGTGAGTTGGAAAACAAAAATGTTGTAAAGAAATATCATGTGGTATTTGTACTTTTAAGTATATTTCATTTATAATAATAATAGGTCTTTACCTATGAAATTGCCGTTTTGTATGCAATAAGTGAAAGTACTTATTTTTTCAAACTTTTTTATTTCTGTTATTCGAAGTAATCACCCATGCAATCGACGAATCTTTGCCAACGCATTGGCAGTTTATTGATGCCCTTCTTGTAAAAATCAGCTGGACGGGAGGCAACAAACTCTTCAAAGGCATTTTGTACTGCCTTTCGGGAATTGAATTTTTTAGCCACTAAAAAGTTGTCTAAATTTTGTAAAAAGTAATAGTCGGTAGGTGCAAGGTCCTGCTAACTAACTCCTAAGTCACACATCCTTGAATCCCATTATAGTTTCTATGAAATTAACATACAACGGTGACGCTACAATCGAGAAATAGGTTAAAATATAATTAAATTTAATATAAATTAATATAAACATAGCTTAAACAAAATCCTTTTTTTTTATGTTTCCGGATACGCACGAACTTTAGTGTAAAGAAACAATCGGTTCATTAGATTCGGTAGATATAATTGGAAAACAAGGAGGTAGATAGAGGAAAGAAGGCTTCAGAATTTTTACACAATCATAATTAAACGTTATTATGTGTAAATTTTAATTGAATGTTTTTGGGAATTATTTCCAGTGGACATAATTGAGTAAATAGTCGAAATCATTATTACAACATTATTGCTTTATCAGATTCCATTGAGTATGAGGGTCAAAGGAAACACATAATTTTGATTTGCGAAACATATGTAACAGATCATCTATATGCGGAGTGAGGAGTAATCTTGTACGCATTTTTTTAACAAACGCACATAAACAAAAATATGGGATTTGGAATACGCAAAGATAATATGTAAAACTGCAAAAAGATGAGATTAAAATATCGTCTAAAAAGTTATTGGGTTTGTATATATTTCGCGGCAGATTAAGTTATATTGACTAAATCATTATGGCCCATCACTTACCTAAACTCGTAAAGAAATCGTAAATCGTACGTCAGCGTCTGTGTACATTTCAGAGTAATTAATGTCTCATAAACAAAACAGACGTAAAATTCGCGTCACGTACAATATATGAAACCTTCTATCATAATAATTTGAAATTTAAATTATATCTATTTTAAACAATACATTATTATTCTTTATCCAATTAAATACGTTAGATACGTTGTGCGTTTAATGTAGATTTAAATTGCTCTTCAAAGCATGTCATCAAAATGAATATTTTCGAATACAATAGGATACCGATATTGGATACGGTCGAGACGTAGCGTCCTTCTTGAGTGGGCCTATAAATATTGCATTTAAAGATGTCCTGTAGTATAGTCCTTCTTTTTTTTTCTGTGCGGATATCCCCTTGGATACCACCCACCGGTGGCTATGTCGGACTCGAAACATGCCGTCTCGGGTACTAGTAGCCAGGAAACCAGGTGTACCCTAGAAAGGAAATTCCTGGTGCCCCGACGTACCTCGGGCCATCTACGGCGGGTAGATGACCCCTCCTGTGTGGGAACCCCCATGTCCCCTTTGTGCTCCCGAAAGGGCGCGTGCGCCGCATCTCATCTCGCCATCACCCCAGCCTAATTCTGCTAGGGTGACAGAAGGCCTCACTTAAGGTCCTATCATAATAATAGTATAATTACTAACTCCACACTGACACCACATCGGTACTCTAAGTAGTATCTACATTGCATCCGTGCGAAACCGGGACGGACCGCTAGTCTTTTTATAAACTCAGGAGTCATGTATTAGCCCTGAAGGCCAGCAACGTCGCCATACTGCGACGACCGCATTGAGTGCGGGCCATCAGGATCATAAGGGGGTACCGCACGATCTTCTTTGAGGCGGCGAGTCTCCTGACCGTGGGACCTGGAGGCGAGAGCCCTTGCGGCTCAGTTTCAGTGGCGCAAGGAGGCGCGGGCGTTGGGTCGGTGCCCCGAGATTCGAAAAATAGATGACCGGAAATCCCAACTTCGCCAGGTCATCATAGTGGAGTGAAGGGAACGACTCGGGCAACCGAGCGCCGGGCACGCTGTCATCGCGGCGGTAAGACCCGTTATGGAGGATTGGCTCGAGAGGCGTCACGGGACCCTCTCATACCTACTGACGCAGGTGATCACTGGGAAAGGATGTTTCGGGGATCATCTGTGTATGATCCGCAAGAAGCCAACGCCTGAGTGCCACCACTGCGATGGCCAGACCGTGGACACGGCTCCCACACGCTGGCAGAGTGCCCGGCGTGGGTTGAGCAGAGGCGAGACCTCGTGGCGGCCATCGGAGTGGGAGTTCTTTCGCTCGATAGCCTGATTGCGGCTATCGTGCGGAGCGAGAGTGCGTGGAACTCTGCCGTCTCCTTCTGCGAGCAAGTCATGCTCGGCGGACGGCGGAGCGGGACCGGTTCAGGTACCGCAGGCGACTCAGGCGCCTCCATAAGCGCAGGCCTGGGGGTGATAGGTGAGGCCATCTGTCACCCTAGCAGAAGCAGGCCGGGGTGGCGGCGAGCGCGTTGCGTAGCGCGCTCGCTTCCAGGGAGCAGAGGGAACATGGGGTTCCCACACAGGGGGGGTCGTCTACTCGTCTGTAGATGGCCCGAGGTATGTCGGGGCACCAGGGACTTCCTTTCTAGGGTATACCTGGTTCCCCGGCTATTAGTACCCGAGACGGCGTGCGGTTTTAGTCGGTTCGTGTCTGACATGCGACCGATGATATCCGGTGGTATCCGAGGGGATTTCCGCACGGAAAAAAAAAGGAGTCATGTATTGCTTACCTATTGGTTGGAGATACGGTATAAAATAACATTAAAATTACACTGGATCGACTCTATCTCATATCCTTCCTCTCTCTGCCCATTTAAGGAACACGTTACATAGATATTGAATAGCAGTCAGTCAGCATCAGTGGTATAGCACAGTTTGTACCTAGTTTGCGATCAAGCAGCAGTGTTCTTAAATTATTATTTCCAAATTTAAGATTAAAATAGTTAGATTCGTTAGCACATTTTTTTTAAATTTGACTTGAGCATAATTTTATTGACCACATCTGAAATCTTTTTATAAAAAAATGTTTAAACAGTATTAGTACAGCAGTAATCTACATTGAAAAGATTAAAGCCACCGTTTTTTATACAACGTGTTTGCCAATGGGATTAAATGGGTTTTTCTGTCACACTCATTACACACGCAATGAGCGTACTACAACCATTTGGATTCATACCAACCTTTTTAAAATTCAAAATGGAGATTATTATTTGAAAAATGAGTGTGATTATTCCTTTGAAACTCTTTAGGTTTTTCATGATCAGCGTTGTAATTGTACATTGTTCGTTGTAGGTAATTGTGTGTTCTTAACTCTCATAGAGTATGAGAGTTGAGAACAATACAGGCTATTGCAATACTGTTTTGTGGATTTTTAATTTGGGCATTTTTTTGGGCGGACCCGAACCATTCCCATGATCACCTACCATGGGGGAAGTAGCAAGATTCATATCCCTAATCAGTTCAATCCCAGGCTGCAACCCTATAACCTACGATAACTTCTAATCTGTCAACAGAGGCCCCCTCTCTCTCGCGGCTCCGTCGACGGTTTATATCGTGGCAGCCGTCTTCTATTCTCGGGATCGGTCCTTCCCTGATCCCGTTCATATATTTCTGTTTGGAGTATTACAGCTTTACAGAATATATATTTGTTCATAAAGTATAAATAAATAAAAATAAAATGAAAATGAACTAAAAAAGAAAAATATAAAAATGTGGAACGCTTTACGATTTTTCGTGTCATCCTTGCGCAGGATATACACGATACAGGATATTCTGAATGATTTTCAGTTACTATACTTAATATACTAATTTCCATTGTCTAAACCACA